TTTGTATACCAATCTAATTGGTTCGAACATATTCTTAATAAAAAAAATAATCACTCAACCATATTGAGACATTCTTGCTATATTGGATGACTATGTCATAGGATCATAAATCTCCTCAAATTATACATCAAAATAAAAATTCTAGACCTTAGAATCTTTGGACCAAAATGTATCAAAATTTTCAAGATATTGGCGTGATATTGACCAACTTTTAATTCGTGGACGGTAAAGTGACAGCCTCCAAAAACAAATCGTGCGTCTAATGTGTCAATTACTTTTGTTCTCATGCTTTAAGAATTCCGCTTGTTATAATCTTATTAGATCTCGTAAAATATCTAGTTAAAATAAAATAATAAATTTTGTAGGTGTATTAAACCGACCAGCCAATAGTTAGGGCGGAATCAGCAACTAATTTACAGTGGAGTCACTATCTTCAACAGTTAATTTTCAGTGGATAAAGAAGACTTCAGATAAGAATTTCAATTTAGAACACCGATACGTTGACTTCTGGTGCGTGAAAAAGTCAAAACTAAATGGTTGTACTTGTACATCGGTAATTACTTCATTAACGAATTTTAAGTTCACTAAACCCAATAATTACCGCTAACGCTAATTGTGATTAGAGAAGAGTGACAAGTACACACGCACTATGACTCTACGAATATGACCAATGACCATCCATATACATACAGTTCGATACTGTTATATGATGTATTGATTTTAGAGCAGAATATGTAATTCAGATATTGTTATATCATGTATTGATTGATAAAACTGAGTGGTTAATACCTATGATAATGAATCTATACGTACGTAACGTATATAAAGTTTTTCTCTTTGTTTAGATAGGGGCATGTATGTACATGTAGCTTGATGATAAATCCAAAATTAGTAACAAATTAAACCAAGATGAGGAAAAAGAGAAATCGTACGTTATACATAGGGAACTCATATGTGGTACACAAGTAAGTCCACAAATATGAATTCCATGAAAGGAAAAAGTACTATATATTATCCCTATACGAGACATTATGATTAGAGAAAGAAAAAATAGGGATCGAGGCACACATGTATATAATTTATATGCTGACAAAGAAAGAAAGAAAAAAGTGAATGGTGTGAAAGGGTTTGTGGGTAATAATCCTTGGGATTTGAACAAAAGGCTCTCTCTCTCCCTTGCGCAGTAGACAAGTAGGCATGCATGTGAATCTGAATCCAAAATCGAGTGCTCTTTGTTCTCATTTCTCAATCCATCTAATTATTCAGTTCCTTTTCCATTTTGGTTACCCATTTGTTATTACTTTTATCTCTTTTTGTTTTTTGTATAAATCTATTTATTCACCAATTTTCTGTTTCCCTTGTCATATCATACACTCGCTCCTTTTCTTGATCAACATGGATGTCTATTCTTATATAAGATCTTTACAAAATGAAATATATATCATATCTGATTGGTAATTTTGTATCGTTGTTATATAAAGTATATTATTACGGTATAAAATATACTTTATGATAGTTATCAATCATAAAAACGTGTACTAAAACTGTTATCAACAATTTTACAGATTTTTTATTGATTTTTTTTAATCGTTATTTTGTAAATCGATCTTTGCATTGTTTTATAACCGTTTACCGATTGTATTTTACAATAAAAAAAATGGTACGATTTTGAGTCATTAGTCATATCCATTATAAAAATAAATATTATTCAAAATGTAATATAGAATTGTGGGTTTTTCACTATTCAAAAAGACTAACTAAAACCCTTAAACAGCCTTATAAATCCAAGGAAATTTTATTGAAAAAGTGCCTTGAAAAATCAAAAGTTCTTATAAATTTTCAAAAGGTAATCTTTTATACTCAGTCTTTCCTTCTTAACTAAAAAAAGAGTCTTTCTTTAGTTTTTGGATTTTTCTTTGGACTAGGGTCAATGAGTTACTGAGATGACGTCAGTGTCACAAGCCGAAAGGGTTAAGGTAAAAAAAGTAAAAACGACAGCCAACGGCTTTGGTGGGTCCCGCATAAGCGGAGATCAGATGAGGAACAAATGATTAGTTATGTGATAGAAACAGGTCTGATTTCCACGTGGCTAATAGCTATGACGACACGTGTTAAGGACGGCGCCACCAAACCAGACAATGGGAGCTGGATTGCTGGGGAAAGACTTAAGAACATCTTCCTCTATTTTATTTCTTCAATTTTTCTATATATAATGTACAATTTTAACAATAATATACACACGATTCTTCATGTTTAATGGCCAACGTTCGTTCCTTTAGGTTTACTATAAATCTGAAAGATTATTTTAATCGTTAAAACCAAATTAAATAATATTGAGATTGTGGCTTATAGTGGATCTATAAAGACTTGTACGTGGGATTATCAATTATATGTATATTACATTATAAAATTTGTTGCGGTAGTATATTGAGTGAGATTTACGTAGTAATCTATAAATAATGTACATGCGTGTAAATCCTTTCGATGTTGAGAGTTATATACTTTAAATAATTAATCCCTTTATCTTCTTCATATATTTCTCGTTACGTGTCTCATCTTTGGTGGATTAATGAACACATTTCAGTCGCCAGATCCAGCAAACATATAATATCTAACAATCTACATATCTGAATATTTGCTTCGCGTTTAACTGTTGGAGTTACATATATGTGATATCTAATTAGAAGAAGATACTTGTATTGTTGATCTTTGCAGGGTTCACAAATCCAGTTCTCTTTAGATATTGAATTGTGTTTCTATTACATGCTATAAGAAAATTGACCCAGATATATTAAAAATTACTAAAAAAGCATATTATAGGAGCATTACAAAAGAAGTTGTATTTCATTTTGTAACACCATAAC